TAGACTCAAAAGAGCTAAAGAGTTGCTTCGCTTGGCCGAAAGTAGTGAACTGCCGAATTTGGTTTTCTCCGATGAGGAAACATTCGTTGTCCAGCAGTTTGTAAACAAACAAAATGATCGTATTTACTTGCCAAAGAGGTCAGCTGAAAATGTGCACCTTCGGTTGGCCGCCAGAACTCAAGCCCCAAGCCGGCCATGGTGATGGTGTGGGCCGCCATAACAGCCGATGGTCGCTCTCCGCTCGTATTAATCGACCGTGGCATCAGAATAAATGCCGAATATTATCGCGAAAATATTCTGGAGGGTGTATTAAAGCCTTGGACACGCAAACATTTTGCCATAGACCTTGGACATTCCAAAAGGACTCAGCACCATCGCACTCATCACGCTCCACCCAAGAATGGCTACAAAATGAGGTTCCTCGCTTCATTTCCAGCGCCCAATGGCCAGCAAAATCTCCGGATACCAATCCGTTGGACTATTGTGTCTGGAGTATTTTGGAAAGCAAGGTTGGCACTTAAAAATACCAAAGTGTCGATCGCCTCAAGCAAGCGCTTCGCCGGGAATGGTCAAAATACCACAGAGCAACATTCGGGCAGTATGTGACGGTTTCGTTGGCCGTTTGAAGGCCATAATTCGTGCCAAAGGTGACCAATTCGAACAAATCTAAAATTATTTTAAAATTTGATGTTATTTCCGACATTTTTTGCTTTCATTCAATAAAATTTAAAAAAAAAATGTAAAAATTTTGGCGTTTGACTTTGTTGCAGTTTTTTTATCTCACCCTGTATTGCCACGATATCGTCTAGCCCACATACAACGGTACCCCCCGATATTCGATATTTTGACAATTTAACGGACATTATTCTTCGGAGTTGTTTCAAATTTCGTGTTTAGATTCGTAATGGGTACTACAGCCTATGACAGAAAATTGCATATGCAGACCCACGTCTTCGTATAGTCTTCATATAACGGTACCTCGAAATATTCGGTATTTTGTTGATTTTAGCGACATTATTCTCCGATGTTGTTACAAAATTCGTATTTAATTCGTATTCGTAATGGAAACTACAGTCTATTACAAAAAATTGTCCATGCAGGTCCAGGTCTTCATATAGGCCCCATATATCAGTTCCTTCCTATGTTTGGTATTTTGATGTTTTCGGCTACGTTATTCGCCGAAATTGTTTGAAATTTCGTATTTGAATTTCATAATAGGTACTACAGCCTATAACAGAAAATTGTCTATGTAGGTCCAGGTCTTCATATAGCCCGATATAAAGGTACCTCCCTATATGGTCATTTTAATGATTTTACTACATTATTTACCAGATTTTTTGTTTCAAGTTTCGTATTTAAATATTGTATGACAAAAGTTGCCTATGCCACGTCCACGTCTTCGTATAGACTCCAATATAACGGCTATATTCTGTATTTTTAAGATTTTAACATAATTTGTATAGGATTTTATTTTTTGGAAAATTTCCAAATTCGTTCCAAATGGTGGAGGGTATTCAAAATTCGGACCGGTCTGCTTGTTTACTTGTTTGAATACGGATTATGGCTTTAGAGCAGTTATAATCTGAAATCGGAGGAAACTAATATATCGATTTCCACCAAATTTTAAGCATTTGCCATTAGGTTGAATTTGGTAGGATGTGATGAAACACATCCTATTTGAACGAATATTACACATGTGGCGTCCAATAAAATTGAAATCAAACGAAGATAGATATGGGAACTATATATAAATATAGGTCGATTATCTAAAACTAATGATATTTGTGAAATTTCATCGCGATCGGGCAATAAATGCTACCTGTACTTTGTTTACAAAAATACATGAACAGAAAAACGGACATGCATAATTTGACTCAGGGTGTGATTCTATACAGATTAGTTAAAAAATACCAACAAATGCACCAAGACATAATATCCTATACCACAGTGTGGCGGATGGTATTATGAAGGAGACAAAAATGAAGTCTTTTAAAGGCTGTAAACATATTCGACGGGCGTTGGGGCCATTCCCCAACATTACTAAACCGTTAGGCTTCAAATCCGCAGCATTCCTCTACAGATAGAAAAATGGTTTCTCTCCATTTTTTTTTTTTAGAAAAACTCACCAACAGAATGATCTGGCTCCAAAAATTATTTGCACCTTTTCCACTAGTAATAATCCAATAATCTTTCTTTTACTCCATTTACTCAATTTTGTTATTCGAAAAGAAAGGAATATTTAACTATAACAAGTAAAAAAGCTGTAAGTTCGGCCGGGCCGAACTTTTAATACCCTCCACCATTTGGTACAAATTTGGCAATTTCCAAAAAAAAAAAACCGTTAAAAATTCTGTTAAAATCTTAAAAATACCGAATGCTTATACGACGACGTGGGCCTGCATAGGCAACTTTTGTCATAAATTATTACAATATTTAAATGCGAAACTTGAAGAAAAATCTGTTTATAATGTAGCTAAAATCGTCAAAATACCGAATATGGGGGGTACCGTTATATGGGGGCTATACGAAGACGTGGACCTGCAAAGACAATTTTCTGGCATGGGCTGAAGTATCCATTACGAACTTCACATACGAAATTTGAAACAATCCCTATAAATAATGTCGCTAAAATCATTAAAATACCGAATATCGGGGGGTACCGTTATATGGGGGCTATATGAAGACGTGGACCTACATGATTCATTCTTTGACTTTGGATGAAGTATCCATTACGAACTTCAAATACCAAATTTGAAACGATTCCGGTAAACAATGTCGCTAAAATCATCAAAATACCGAATATCGGGGGGTACCGTTATATGGGGGCCATATGAAGACGTGGACCTACATGGCTCATTTTTTGATTTAGGATGTAGTATCCATTACGAACTTCAAATACCAAATTTGAAACGATTTCGGTAAACAATGTCGCTAAAATCATCAAAAAACCGAATATCGGGGGTACCGTTATATGGGGGCTACAGGAAGACGTGGACCTGCACAGATAATTTTCTGTCTTAGGCTGTAGCATCCATTACAAACTTCAAATGCCAAATTTGAAATAATTCCGGTGAATAATGTCGCTAAAATCATCAAAATACCGAATATCGGGAGGTACCGTTATATGGGGGCTATATGATAACTTGGACCTACATGGCCCATTTACGAACTTAACCTGCCTACTGGGAAAAATACATGTGTGCAAAATTTTAGCCTTCTATCTCAATTTGTTCGAAAGATAGCGTGATTACAACAGACAGACAGACGGACAGACAGACAGACAGACACACAGACAGACAGACGGACATGGCTAAATCGTCTTAGAATTTTACGCTGATCAAGAATATATATACTTTGTTGGGTCTGACATGAATATTTCGAGGAGTTACAAACGGAATGACAAAATTAATATACCCTCCATAGTATGGTGGAGGGTATAAAAATGTATTCCAATTAACATTTCTCCTTGGTTGCGAAAATTGAATGGCAAATTTACAATTGAGTTCTTTTTTCTCACACTGATGCTTGCTCTCATTATCATATTGACTTTTAATCTCAAATTCTATTTCGTTTAAAGTTCACGACTCTCTCTCTCTCTCTCTCTCTCTCTCTCTCTCTGTGTGTGTTATGGGATTGTTGTTATTCTTGGTCTAATCATAGTTATGCTAGCGACAACGGTAATGCTAACCAATACCAATTCTACAATTAGCATAACAAGAGAAAGAGAGTAATGGAGTGAGAAGAATAATAAGAGACCGTGTTTATGTGGGGTATGTTCAGTGAAAGCTACGGTGATGCTGCTGTAGCATTTCTCACATAATCAACAAAAATGTTTAAAATAGAATAGATCAAAACTCGAATCCTGAATCAAAAAAAAAAAGAACATTTGTAATATACAGATAATCCATGGGTAGGAGACACTCTATAGGACAGAAGACTCTTTTCGGTTTCCTGATAGTTAAAGATCTTTTCTAGGTCTTCTTTGCATGAAAGTCCTTTTACAGGTCTTGTACGAATAAAAGAACTTTTTCACAAGGAAGGAGATAATATCCAGGTTTTTTAAAGGTGGAAGACCTTTTGCAGGTCTTCTGGAAACGGAAGACCTTCTACAAAGTCTTGGGAGAACAGAAGACCTTTAGTAGGCTTTGTTATGACAGATTATCCCTTTTCTAGATCTTCTATAGATGGAAGACCATTTACAGGTTTTCTAAGGATAGGCGACCATCTGGAGATCTTCTAAATGCAGGGGTTCTGAAGGTAAAAGATCAATGCCCGGTCTTCTAGACATAGAGGAACATTAACAGATCTTCTAGAAAGGGAAGAGATCTGCTACAGTTATTTTATAAATGCTGTTTTAGAGATTCCATTGTAGCTTTGAATCTAGGTTTAAATTTAATTAAATTTAAAATTTTAAAAGGGAAACAAACCAACAATCTCAATCCCTTGTTTATTAAGTAACTCTTCTTTTTCTTTACAAACTCTGTTTTGCTGATTTTCTCCATTTTTATTTAACTCCGCAACGGAAAAATTTAATATTTCATGTTTCCGATCATTGTAAAAATACATTTTTTAAATTTATTGTAAAATTGTTAAAATAAGAATTTTTTTTGGTATTTAAAAAATATTGGTGTCGTTTTCCTTTGAATCAACTGGCAAATATTCTTTAAAAGAACTCATTGAATTCTTTTTCTGCTTCTTTGATTTCTTCTCCATTTCTTTATTTTTTTTTTTGGCGCAAATCAAAATCGACAAAAACAAAAAAAAAACCATCACACATACATTTATACTCCTGTGTACATATATCGCACAACAATTGGCCCCACTTAACTCATCAAATAACTTCCGATTGAACAATGCTAACCTTATGACTACACACCCAACCTCCCATCCATCCACCATCCCTTAACACCCCCCCCCCCCTCTTCCCTTAACCCCCTTCGTGTGCCAACAACGTCGTATAGCCAACGTTTTTGCCAAATATTACCCTCTTATTTTTACAGACATCCCCATGGAGCCTGCGCCAGCTTTCTGCTGTCCCACTGCAACGAATGCATTCTCTTCTCCTTTGTCATCTCGCCCATTGTCTGTTTTCCCACGCTGTTGGTGTTCAAAGTGAGCGAACGTGTTAAGGACAATCGGGTGCTGTACTATGTGCAGGCTGATAAGAATTCCAACCTCTACAGGTAAGTGTAAGCGAGTGGGGTCTGACATGGTTATATATTTTGTATATTTTCGACATACCCTACACCACATAGTGGTAAGGGTATTATTTCTTTGGGCATTTGTTTGTAACGGGAAGAGAAGGAAGCGAGCTAGACCCATAGTTACTTCTGAGGATCGTCATAGAATCACTTTCTGAGTTGATTTATGTATGTCAGTCCATCCGTCCATGTATTTTGGGAACAAAATGCAGGTCGTATTTATTATCCGATTGAGAAGAAATTTTCCAAATAATATTTGTTTGGCCCAAGGACGAACCCTATTGAAATTGCTGAAAATCGCTTCAAATTTAGATAAAAGTCCCATATATATCTTCAACCGATTTCGGGTTAATTGTGCACCAAATGACCAATATCAATCCAAATGACCTGCGTTTTCGGACTTCCGACTGAATTCAGTCTAGAAGTAAGTGAATTAAATTTGGTGAAAATCGGTTCAGATATAGCTATAGCTCCCACATAGACAGGGTGAGATGTCAAATTTTATCGAGATCGGACCAGATTTGGATATAGCTCCCGTATATATTTTTATCCGATATCAGGTTTATTGTTCACCAAATGGCTAATTTCAGCCCAAATGGACTGAATTTTGGCACTTCCGACGGAATTCAGACCATAGGCAAATACTTCTAAATTTTGGGAAAAATCGGTTCAAATATATCCATAGGTCCCATATATATGTTTCGTCCGATTTGGTGTTAAAGTCTCTCACATGCGTAATATGCACTCCACAAGAATGATATTTGATACCGGGATTCAGATACAGCTCGACAATACCTCTGTCAAATTTTATCGAGATCGGATCAGATTTGGATATAGCTTCCATATATATCTTTACCCGATATCAGGTTTATTATGCACCAAATGTTCAATATCAGCCCAAATGGGCTAAATTTTGGCACTTACGACTAAACTCAGACCAGAAACAAGTAGTTCAAATTTTGGGGAAAATTGGTTCAAATATAGCCATAGCTCCCATATATAAGTTTCATCCGATTTGATGTTTAAGTCCCTCACATGCGTAATATACACTCCACAACAATGATATTTGATATCGGGCATCAGATACTGCTCGAAAATACCTCTGCGAAATTTTAACGAAATCGGTTTAGATTTTTATATGCCTTCGATATACAGGGTGAGATAAAAAACTGCAACAAAGTCAAACGCCATAGTTTTTACATTTTTTTTTTTAATTTTATTGAATGACAGCAAAAAATTTCGGAAATAGCATCAAATTTTAGAATAAGTTTAGATTTGTTCGAATTGGTCACCTTTGGCACGAATTATGGCCTTCAAACGGCCAATGAAACCGTCACACGCTGCCCGAATGTTGCTCTGCGCTATTTTGGTCCATTCCCGGCGAAGCGCTTGTTTGATCGACACTTTGGTATTTCTTAGTGCCAACCTTGCTTTCCAAAATACTCCAGACACAATAGTCCAACGGATTGGTATCCGAAGATTTTGGTGGAAATTGTGCACTGGAAATGAAGCGAGGAACCTCATTTTGTAACCATTCTTTGGTGGCGCGTGCTGATCTAAGTGGGATGGTGCTGAGTCCTGTTGGAATGTCCATGGTCTGCGGCCAAAATGTTTGCATGCCCAAGGCTTTAATACACCCTCCAGAATATTTGCGTGATAATATTCGGCATTTGTTCTGATACCACGGTCGATTAATACGAGCGGAGAGCGAACATCGGCTGTTGTGGCGGCCCACATCATTATCCTGGCCGGCGCTTGAGTTCTGGTGGTGCATTGGTGCGAAGGTGCACATTTTCAGCTGACCTCTTTGGCAAGTAAACACGAACATTTTTTGTTTGTTGTTTATGAACTGCAGGACAACGAATGTTTTCTCATCGGAGAAAACCAAATTCGGCAGTTCACCACTTTCGGCCAAGCGAAGCAACTCTTTAGCTCTTTTGAGTCTATTTTCTTTCCATTGCGGTGTAAGTTCTTGCACTTTTTGGAATTTCAATGGATTTACCACGAGCTCATTTTTTGAATATTTGCCGAATGGAATATTGCGATATGTTCTCATGGCTCATGAGTCATTTTTCGGCCACTGCGAGGCGAGTTTCGATCAAGTCGCTTCTTAAATTTTCGAAACCTTTCTGCTGATGTTGCTGCTTTCTTCCGTTCACTTCCCTGACGTCGGGCTACGCTAGCAGTATCAATCACGGTAACGAGCGATGGTACAAGAGATTTATTCACATTTAAATGCTGGAGTGCTCTAGCGATAGCCACTTGTTGTTTTCCAGCCAAATATAAAGAAATCACACTATCACGCTTGCATTCCACCACGAATAACTTTTTTTCTGGAAAATTCTCACAAAAATGCTTTTGTAGGCTTGTAAACAATATAATGAGCTGTCACTGGAATAATTTTAACAGCTGTCGGACGAGTGGCTTAGAAATGACAGCAGTCTGAAGTTGGTTGCAGTTTTTCATCTCATCCATCCGATTTTAAGGATATTTTCTATCATATATGTGTGTAGTGTAGGTCATCATATAGTCGGACCCGCCCGACTTTTGACCTTTCCTTACTGTTTTTTACACACAATAAAAGTATGTTGAAATTAGAGTGAGGGAGAAAGAGAGAGGTTTCTGCGACCGTTACAACTAAATGCCATTCAATTGCCGATTATCTAACAACAGGTCTGCGAAGCATGTAAGCATACATGGTTGGTTGGTCGACCCTCCTCCGAGGCAGTTATCTCGACGATCTAATGGAATGGTTTTAATTGAAATTTCATGTTGATATTTCAATACAAATATTGAAGTCTCGTTCCCAGTTGGTCATTTCCTTTGTGAGTTGCTTTTGTAAGATTTGTTTCCTTTTTTCTTTCAATTTTTTTCTCAATTCCTTTTTTTTACTTAAAATATTGATGTTTTTTTATGTACATATGTATGTGAGAAAAAAAAACATATTTTTTTTTATTTGCTTATTGCCATAAGTCTCTTATGTCATTGATAAACGAAAATTCCCTGGCAACCAAACATAACCTCAAAGAAATTAAAAAAAAAAAGAAAATGCAAAAAAGAAATGGATTAGCTCTTAAGTAATTCAAATATCTCAAGGCATGTAAAAAGTAATTCAGATTAAAATTTCTTTTGACATAATTGAAAAGGATATCCAATTGCTTGTTGTTCACGGATAAGTGAACATGTTTTCAAAATAAAAGAGAATAGCGGGGCTACCTAGTGTAGATGAGAGGGATTTGTTAAACTGGGATCTTCTTAATACAGTCCACATGAAATAAGATAAGAAAATGTGGTGAGCAGATCTTCGAGTTGGAAATAAATAATACAGAATTTTCAATTGCTGCATGTGTTATGGTGGAGTTAGATTATGGGATGTAATCTTTACTCAGACTGATAAGCATGTGCAGCATGTTTGCTTGCCACATGTGAGATATCTATGCGTGTGTATGACTCCCCCTAAGTTTATGGCGGCATGGTACATATGCATGTGTACAGTTGGTATATATCTCTCTCTCTCTCTCTATCTCTCTCATTTACACTTAATGAGAATTTAGGTTGAGTCATATTATCATATCTAGGTCTTAAGAAATATTTTTTTTAATAAATAAATTCAGTGTAGTAAAAATATTCAAACGGCGCGTACATTTCTTCCGCGAACACTTGTTGTATGTCAATGAATAAAAAAAATATGAAATAAATCCGTAGCTATATAAGTCAAATTATTCAAGGCTACCTGGGATGTCTTGTATCAAATATGATTGATATCGACTTCGGGTATATTAAAATGTTTCGATCGAAGGAGATATAATAGGTAATGTTATGGAGACTTTATAATATTTTTGGGCAGAATCATGAATTGTATGCCAGTGCATATAACCAAATTAGCTAAGACTTGATTTATCGGTTCCTTTGCTTATAAAAAATGAAAAAAAAATTCAAATTAAAAAAGAAATTGGATGAAACCTATATGTGGGAGCTATAGCTATATCTGAACCGATTTTCACTCGATTCGAAGTAATTTTTTCTTGGATTAATTCAGTCAAAATTGCTAAGATTCAGTTTATTTGGGATGATATTAGTCATTTGGTGCACAAGAAACCTAAAATCGGATAAATATATGTATGGGAGCTATATCCAAATCTGAACCGATCTTGTCAAAATTGTAGGAACTTATTTCTGAGCTGTATTTGATAGCTGGTACCAAAGAACATTGCTGTGGAGTGCATATTACGCATGTTAGGGACTTAAATCCCACAATCGGATGAAAAATATATATGGGAGCTATAGTTATATCTGAACCGATTTTCACCAAATTTGAAGTACTTTTTTCTAGAATGAATTTGGGCTAATATTAGCCATTTGGTGCACAAAAAACCTGACATCGGTTAGAGATATATATGGAAGCTATATCCAAATCTGAACCGATTTCGATAAAATTTGACAGAGGTATTTGTGGTATATGGTACCAAATTTCATTCTTGTGGAGTTCACATTACGAATGTGGGGGACTTAAAACCCCAAAATCGGTGGAAACTTTTATATAGTAGCTACAGCTATATCTGAACCGATTTTCTCCAAATTTTATGTACTTGCTTCTAGACTGAATTCGGACAGATGTCCCAAAATCCAGGTCATTTGGACTGATATTGGTCATTGGGTGAACAATTCACCTCAAATCGGTTTAAGATATATATGGGACCTATATCTAAATTTGAACCAATTCTCACCAATTTCCATAGGGTTCGTCCTTGTACCAAACAGTTATTGTTTTCAAAATTTCATTTCAATCGGATAATAAATGAGACCTGCATTTTGTTCACAAAAATATATGGGCAGACGGACAGACAGATGGACTGACATACATAAATCGACTGAGAAATTGATTCTTTGAAGATCCTCACAAGTAACTGTGTATAGCCTTTGTTTTAAGTTACAACGATTTTTGTTAGCGCTTAAAAGTATGCTATAAAAATATATTTTATAAATGTGTAAAGTAATTGACTAACTGACTGACTTAACGAGCTAGAATCTTCAAAATTTGGGTGAGGGTCACACTTGGTCCAAAGGGATCAGATAAGGCTGGGTTTTTGGAAACTTGTATTATAACGGTACGAACAGAATTAAAAGGTACCAAAAGTGGTAATCTTTGGATTTGGGGAAGAAGTTGAGCTAGAACTCTTAAATTTGGAATGAGGCTCACTGATGGAGTTTATGATAAATGTACTGAAGATTTTTTGGAAATTTGAAAAACGAAAAAACTAAAATGTACAACATTCGACACCATTTCGTATCATGAGCACCATCACCCCAAATCCCCTTGGTTGTAATTATACTCTCTGGCTAGATAGCGAATATATCATTCGATACGGTCAAAACCTGCCTAGTCGAAATACGGCCGTCTGTCTGGCTGGGGCTCGTTGGTGCGCACCATAACTCCCAAATGGAGTATCAGATTTGGCCCAAACTTGGTACATCGTAATATTTTTATCAAACTTAGATCGAGTTCGGAGATGGGCAATATCGGTCCACTTCTTCTGGTAACTTCCCCACAAAAGGACGAAATTTGCAAAAAACCAAAAAAAAAATATTTCTGCACAGAGCGAGAAACGATAATTCGATTTTGCTCCAACTTTGCAAATCCTAGTATTTGCGTCAGTTCTAGGTCAGGTGCAAAAATGGATAAAATCGGTCCACTCCATCAAGTACCTCCCCCACAAAGGATCAACATTTTGAATAATTACAACTCTTATAAAATGTGATGTAAGAGTCCGATTGTCTTCAAATTTCACACATCGCCATATTTTTATAAACCCAAGATCTGGTGTTAAGATGGAATATATCGGTCCGCTCCTTCCGGTACCTCTCCCACAAAATGTCGAAATTTTCAAAAAATATATTTTCTGCACCGAAAAAGAAATGATAATCCGATTTTGTCCCAATTTTGAAAATCCCAATACATGCGTCAGTGCTAGGCCAGGTGCAAAAATGGATAAAATCGGTCCACTCTATCGAGTACCTCCCCCACAAAGGGTCAAAATTTTTAATAATTAGAACTCTTATCAAATATGATGTAAGGATCCGATTGTCTTAAAATTTTACACTTCCCAATAGTTTTATAAACCCAAGATCTGGTGTTAAGATGGAGTATATCGGTCCAATCCTTTTGATACCTCCCCCAGAAAGGTAAATATCCACGAAGCTCATAAAACTCGAAATTACCATCCGATTCCATTCAGACTTGGCATATCTCAATATGTCTTTCACCACAAGATCTGTTATAAATATGGAAGAGATCGGACCATTTCTTCTGGTACCTCCCTTAAAAAGGGTCAACGTTTTGAATCACCAAAACGAGTATAAAATCCAAAATAAGGATCCTATTCTCCTCATATTTCACACATCCCATTATTTCTACTAACACAAGATCTGCTGTAAAGATGCGATATATCGGTCCACTCCTTTTGGTACCTCCCCCACAACTTGTACCATCTAAATATTTCTCTCAACCAGAAACCGTAGATGAATATGGAAATGTTCGACTATCTTATAATTTTATCCATACCAATATTTTTATCTGTATTAGACGAACTGTGAAAATGGAGTACTTCGGTCGACTATGTCTGGTACCTCACGCACATTTTACCATTTTCTAAAAATTATCACATATCTCATATAAATTGAAGGGAGTAACCAATATAGTCCAAACCTGTCACGCCCCAATATTTATATCATATTTATTTAGGTCCAATATGAAATGGACAATATTGGTCCATTCCTTCGGAACCTATTCCATAGAGAGTGAAAAATTTTTTAACATTTTTATTTAGATTCGAATATCTGCAGATTCGAATATCTGCAGTATAATTACAGTAAAGCTTAAATTTGTTATGAACGCCTAAAAGTATGCTACAATAATATTAAATACAAAATTTGAAAAAACTAACTTTGATTCCTTCCGATACTTCTCAGAAAGACAAATGGACTTAAAAATAGAATGCTGTCACCTTCCACCAGAGTTTTCGTTGCCAATTTTAATAATGATTGTTCAAAATTCCGTCCGGAATGAGGAACTGAGTCCAATTCTCCCTATTTCCCTTGGTTGTAATTATTATTTCATATTTTAATCACTTTAATCCGTATGTCCTTATGATTAATATACATTTCATCTTCTCTCTCTCTCTCTCTCTTTCAGAATTAACTTTTGGATACATTCGGTCATAATTAAGCTGCTGCCCTGCTGCATATTGACGATTATCAGTTTTGTGCTGGTCAAGGTGTTGTGTGAGGCTTCCAAGCGGAAACAGAAACTCAAAGAGTACAGTAATCCCAACAAGTCGGGGCAGCTGCAACATTTGCAAAAGCATGCCTCCAGGTAAGGGCAAAGGAATCATAATCCCATCCCGCAAAAAAATAATGCTTTCGGATTACCCTTACAAATTTATTTTCCCCCCACTTCACTTTACCTGACATGCTTTTCTTTGGTCTTGTCTCTCTTTTCCAGAATACCCAAATGTGATCGACGCACCGACCGCACCACAATGCTGCTGGTGGCTGTGCTAATCCTCTTCTTGCTCACCGAATTCCCCCAGGGCATTTTGGGCTTAATGTCCGGAATTATGGAGAAATGTTTTTTCGAAGTGTGCTACCAAGTGTTTGGCGAAATGATGGATTTGTTGGCCCTCATTAATGCAGCCGTTGATTTCGTTCTGTACGGTCTGATGTCGAAGCAGTTCCGAACCACTTTTAAATCGTTGTTTTTTAAAAGGCGCCTGGGCAGCATTGAACTGACGCGGGTTACACGTTTAACCACAACGTGCGTATGATTGGGTCCAAAGGATAATAAGACCAGGCGAATTTCGAACGATGCCACCAATATGACAGTGACCACCAACGTCGCCAACTCACTGCTGCGCAACAATGGTAAACAGAGGAGAAGAGAAGAGCAGCTGCAGACCATTATTACTACAACCACAACAACGGCGATGAAAATGCAAATGAAACCCATTGATGACAGCGAGAGGGGTCCAGGAGTGAGGGCAGATGGCATTACCACCGATAACAACAGTAATATCGGCTACAACAATGAATTGATAGTCGATGGTACTTCTCGAGAAAAGTATTTGCTAAAAAGCATACAGCTGTAGAATAGCTCTCTCTCTCTCTCTCTCTCTCCCACCCTAACGCCCTCTCACCTCTCATCCAGCCAGTGAGCCAGACAACAGGATATCAAATTTTTCCATAGACAACAACCATCAACAACAACAAAAATAGCAATGCAAATGTATACCAAAAATAGATGAAAGGCAAAATTGAAAATTGTTCAATAGATCCAAGAGGGTCCATTGGCCATTTTGGACATGTCTCAAATGCTAAACAGTAGCAACAACAACGGCAACAACAAAAACACCATTAACAATTTCATTTACACATTTCGCATTTGTAATCGGATACGTTTTTTCTGGTTGGAGGCGAAATGACGCAAACAAATGTGAAATAGAATCCATAAAAAAAAAACGGAAAAAAAAATAATACAAAACTGGCCACAAGCCATGTGGTCTCCTCGACAATTCAAATCAATTGGAAAATGACCTTAACAAAAAAAAAAAAGAAAAGAAAAATGGAAAATCGTAATGACATTTGGTGATAACCAAACCTCCTGAAACAGGACATCAAATTAAGGATATCGATAATATTCAAGGAGAAAACTTTTGGCCTTCAGAATTTTAAATGGTCTTCCAAGAGGGGGTAAAAGGAGGAGGATGTAGGACAAACTGGATTCGCAGAAATTTAAAATCGATTTACAACAAGTTAAAACGTATCAGTCGGTTTTACCGACGGATGTATATCCTTAGGCAATAATTCATTAATTATTCAAATTGTTGACCCTCTATGGAGTAGGCTTCGAAGGAATAGACCAATATTGTCCATTTTGTATCATACCTTCATAAATATGATATAAATATTAGAACGAACGTCACTGATAGAGTTCAGGATACATGAACATAAATGGTACTAAATTTGGAACAGTTTAGTACTAAATAGTACTACTTTTGGTACAGTTTGGCTTTGTGTGAACAGATAGGGCTTGAAATCTGAAATTTGGCATTAGGGTCGCTGTTCAAGTGTAGCCTGGACATATGGAAATAATTGCGAATGTGTACGAAAAGTACTGAATGGTACTACTTGCCAAGATTGGACTATACCGACTACTCCTTTACTTTGTATGAAATATCTGATGGTTTTTAGAAAATGTTAACATGTGCTTGAGTTACCAGATATAGTCGACCGAAGTATTACATTTTCATACTTCATCTAATACTGATAAAAATACTGGTATGGGAAAAATTACAAGAAAATCGAGCATTTATATCCAATTTTATGCGAAATCATAAATTCCATAAATTCCGATAAATTCCATATTTATCTCAAGTTTTTGGTTGAAAGAAATATTTCGAAATAAAAGAATCTTGATTTGATTCGCAAGTTATGACAGAAAATAGTATTGAAAAAATGAGACCCTTTGTGCGTGAGAAGGGGTTGGCAGATATCTATCATGTTCACAACAGATCTGGCGTTAGCAAAAAGGTGTGGAATTTGAGGAGAGTTGGATGCTTATTTCGAGTTTTACGAGCTTTTTATTTCGGATTTTATGCTCGTCTTTGTATCCTTTGTGGGAGCGGTGCCAGATCCCACAAAGGATCAAAATTTCTCCGATCTCCACTATATTCATTACAGACGTTGTGTTGATACAAATATTGAAATGTACCAAGTCCGAATGGAGTCGGATGTTAATTTCGCGTTTTATGAGCTACTTTTATATTTAAAATTTTGAGGTACCAGAAGGAATGGTCCGATCGCTACCATCTTTCTAAGAGATTTTGTGTTGATCGAAATATTGAGATGTGGCAAATTGAATGGAATCGGATGTTAAATTTGCGTTTCATGAGCTTCATGGATATTCAAAAATTTGATCCTTTGTGGAGGAGGTACCAGAAGGAGTGGACCGATATATCCCCACTTCACAGCAGATCTTGTGTTAGTAGAAATAATGGGATGTGTGAAATATGAAGAGAATCGAATGCTTATTTTGGATTTTATAATCGTGTTGGTTATTCAAAATTTGGACCCTTTGTGGGGGAGGTACCAGAAGGAATGGTCCCATCTCTACCATCTCTATAACAGATCTTTTGTTGATAGAAATTTTGAGATGTAGCAAGTTTGAATGAAATCAGATATTAATTTCGCGTTTTACGAGCTTCTTGTTTTTCAAAATTTTGACCCGTTGTGGGGGATGTACCAGAAGGCGTGAACCGATATATCCCATCTTCACAGCGGATTTTGTGTTAGTAGGAATAATGGGATGTGTGAAATATGAAGAGAAGCGGATGCTTATTTCGGATTTTACGCTCATTTTGGTTATTCAAAATTTTGATCTTTTGTGGGGGCCCTATCAGAAAAAATGGTCCGATCTGTACCATATTTATAACAGACCTTGTGTTGGTAGAAATATTGTGATATGCCAAGTCTGAATGGAATCGAATTATAATTTTGGATTATATGAGCTTCTTGGATATTCAAAATTTTGACCGTATATTAGAATTTGAAGGAGTGGACCGATATATCCCATCTACACATCAGACCTTGGGTTAATAAAAATATTGTGATGTGTGAAATTTTTAAGGTTATCGGACTCTTACATCACATTTAATAAGAATTATAATTATTCAGAATTTTGACCCTTTCTGGCACAGGTACCCGAAGGAATGGTCCGATCTCTACGATCTTTATAATAAACCTTGTATTGATAGAAATATTGAAATATGGCAAGTATGAATGAAGTCGGATGTTGAATACGGGTTTTATAAGCTTCATGAATATTCAAAATGTTGACCCTTTTTGGGGTAGGTACGAGAAGAAGTGGACCGATATATTCCATATTCACATCAGACATTGCGTTAGTGTAAATAATGGAATGTGTGAAATATGAAGAGAATCGGATGATTATTCGGATTTGATTATCGTTTTGGTTATTCAAAATTTGGACCCTTTGTGTCTCTACCAATTTTATAACATTTCTTGCATTAATGGAAATATTGAGATGTGACAAATCTGAATTGAATCGGATGTTAATTTCGCGCTTTATAAGCTTCATTGATATTTTAAAATTTTGACCGTTTATGGGGGAGGTATTAGAAGGAGTGGACCGATATTTTCCATCTTCACACCAGACTTTGGGTTAATAAAAATATTGTGATGTGTGAAAAATTTAAGGTAATCGGACTCTTACATCACATTTAATAAGAATTATAATTATTCAAAATTTTGACCCTTTTTGGCGGAGGTACCTGAAGGAATGGTCCGATCTCTAGCATCTTTATAACAAACGTTGTATTGATAGAAATATTGAGATATGGCAAGTCTGAATGTAATCGAATTATAATTTTGGATTATATGAGCTTCTTGGGTATTCAAAATTTTGACCGTTTGTGGGGGAGGTACTAGAAGGTGTGGACCGATGTTTTCAATCTTCGCACCAGACCTTGGATTAATAAAATATTGGGATTTGTGAAGCTTTTAAGATAGTCGGACTCTTTTATCACATTTTATAAGAGTTATAATTATTCAAAATGTTGACCCTTTGTAAGGGAGGTGCTTGATGGAGTAGGCCGATATTGTCCATTTTCGCACCTGACTTAGCACTGATGCAAATACTAGGATTCGCAAAGTTGGAGCAAAATCGGATCATCATTTCTCTTTCTGTGCAGTTAAATATTATCTTTGAAAATATCGAACTTTTGTGGGGGGAGGTACCATAAAGAGGGCACTGATATTGTCCATCTCCGAACTTGATCTAAGTTCGACAATAATACTACGATGTACCAAGTTTGCGCCAAATCGGATACTACCTTCAAGAGTTATTATGTGCAACAGCCAGACAGATAGACGAACGGACGGGCATCCTTAGATCTACTCTAAATATCCTGAACCATTAAAAAAATAAAAAATATATAAAACCTTTATTTCGATTAGGCACACTTTGGCCGTATCAAATGATATATGTCATAGACTGAGGGTACAAAATTGTTAAGCGCGCCTAAAATTATGTGTTACGATGCATGCATTTTTATACCCTCCACCATACATAGTATGGAGGATATATTAAGTTCGTCATTCGGTTTTGTAACTCATCGAAATAATCATTTTAGACCCAACAAAGTATATATATATATATATATTCCTGATCAGCGTAAAATTCTAAGACGATTTAGCCCTGTCCGTCCGTCTGTTGTAATCACGCTACAGTCTAAACGAATTAAGATAGGAAACTAAAATTTTGCACAGATCTCTCTTTTATCTGCAGGCAGGTCTAGTTTGAAGATGGGCTATATCGGTCCACGATATCGTTTAGCACCCATATAACGGTACCCCCCGATATTCGGTATTTTGATGATTTTACCCACATTTTTCAACGGAATTGTATGAAAATCCACACAAGGAGTTCCTTGTGGGTACTTTATACCTCGGCAGAGAATTATCTATATAGGTCCACAATATCGTATAGCCCCCATATAACGGTACCCCCCGATATTCGGTATTTTGAAGATTTTACCCACATTTTTCAACGGAATTGTCTGAAAATCCACACAAGGAGTTCTTTGTGGGTACTTTATACCTCGGCAGAGAATTGTCCATATAGGTCCACGATATCGTATAGCCCCCATGTAACGGTACCCCCCGATATTCGGTATTTTGATGATTTTACCCACATTTTTCAACGGAATTGTCTGAAAATCCACACAAAGAGTTCCTTGTGGGTACTTTATACCTCGGCAGAGAATTATCTATATAGGTCGGCAATATCGTATAGACCCCATATAACGGTACCCCCGATATACGGTATTTTGATGATTT